ACCGCCGCTGTGGAGCCTGATCCGCCCAAGGCCCCGGAACCTGAACCAGAGCCGGAGCCTGAACCGGAACCCGTGCCTGAACCCGTGCCGGAGCCGGAGACGGAGAAGAAAGAAGAGGATATTTGGGGTGTCAGCATCTCAAAGACGGACAAGAAAAAGAAGAAGAGCAAGAAAGGTGAGCCCGAGCCAGAACCGGAGCCCGAACCCGCAGCGGAGCCGGAGCCGGAGCCTGTTCCAGAGCCAGACCCGGAACCGGAACCGGTGCCAGAGCCAGTAACGAAGGACGATAGTTTCTGGGGAGGTCTCACTGGCTCTAAGAAGGAGAAGAAAAAGAAGAGTAAGAAGGGCCAGCTGGAGGACCCGCAGCCCGACCCGGAGCCGGAGCCGGAGCCAGAGCCGGAGCCGAAGCCTGAACCAGAACCGGAACCTCAGCCGGAGGTTAAGGAGGATGACCCGTGGGGCTTCTCTTCCTCGAAGAAGGACAAGAAGAAGAAGAAGGGCAAAGGCAAGGATGCCGAAGCGGACCCGCCCGTAGCCCCTGAGCCTGATCCGGAGCCTGAGCCAAAACCAGAGGACGACTTCTTTGGTTCGCTGGGTGGCTCTAAAAAGGACAAGAAAAAGAAGAAGGGCGAGACGGCACAAGCACCCGAGGAAAACGACAAGGATCTCATCGATCTCGACAAGCCGGCGGACTTGGAAAAGAACGACTTCTTCAGTTCGTGGAGCACCGGGATCGACAAGACGAAGGGCGATGACGGCGAGAAATTGATTGAGGAGCCCGCCGCGGAGGATGGGGATTGGGGAGCATGGGATACCGGTTCAAAGAAAAAGAAGGGTAAGTCACATTACACATCACCAGTTATCACCTCGGCAAATCTTGAACTAAGCTAAAGCATACGCAGGGAGCAAAAAATCCGAGCAGGAAGACGAGGAACGCAGGGCTGAAGCAGCCGAGGAGCAGGCCAGGCTGGACGAAGAGGAGCGGCAGCAAAAAGAGGCCGACGAACAAGCGGCCAGGGACGCCGAGGATGCTGAAGCGGCGAGGGAGGAGGAGGAACTGGCAGTCCTCAAGGCCAAGAAAACCAAAAAGAAGAAGTTCACCAAGAGCGACCAGGAGAAGTTCGACCGGCTGACAGCAAGCGTCAAGAGGCGGGCTGACGACAGAGCGGCACGCGAGGCTGAGCAAGTCGAACAAGAGAAGCAGAGGCAGGCGGAGGAGGAGCTTGCTGCTAAGGAGGCCGAAGAGAATGCCCTCCGTGAGGCTGAAGAGGCGGCTGAAAGGGAGCGTCAGGAGGCGGAAGAAGCAGCGGCAGCCGCAGCGGCGGCCGCAGAGGCAGAAGCCGCAGAGGCCGAGGCAGCGTCGTCTTCGAAGAAGTCTAAGAAGTCCAAGACCAAGAAGGAGGAAAAGAAGGAGAAGGAGAAGGAGAAGGAGAAGGAGAAGGAGAAGGAGAAGGAGAAGGAAAAGGAGAAGGAGAAGGAGAAGAAGGAGAAGAAGGACAAGAAGGACAAGAAGGACAAGGGAAAAGAGAAGGAAAAAGAGGAGGTCAAGGCTGACGAGGACGACGAGTTCAACGACGTCAACCTCACTGCCGAGCAAGTCGAGGAGCTGCTGGCCGACAAGCCGAAGGAGGAGGACGAGGAGGAGAAGAAGCAGACGGCATCGAGGGAAGCTCCTGTGCCTGCGTCTACCGACGACCCCTTCAGTTTTTGGGGTGCTGCCAAGAAGTCGACCTCCAAGAAGAAGTCGCGGCTGAACTCGTGGCTTCCTGAGGCAGAAGACCCCCCTCCCCAGGCAGCAGCGCCGGAAATTGCGAATGCTGAGTCATCCCCCTTTCTGGAAGCTGCCACCGCCGCCGCGATTGGCGCGGTCGCCACCGAGGTGTGGGACGACATCGAACCGGCCAGGCCCATGAAGTCCAAGAAGGCTGTCGGCGGCAAGATCGCAGACCGCCTGCGCGCCTTCCAGGTGATTGACGACGAACCCGACGAACCCGGCGAACCCGGCGACGACGCGCCAGTCGAGCCGCTGCCTCCGCCGACACCGCCCCCGCCCGCCCCCGTCGCGGTGTCCGTCGCGCCAGCCAAAGAGGAGAAGAAGAAGAGCTCCAAGAAGAGCAAGAGCAAGAACAGGGAACAGGTCATCGACGTCGACGCTTTGGCATCTTACCCTCCCGCTCCGCCGCCGCCTCCCCCGCCCAACCCCGGCTTGCCCGGCAGCTTCCCGCTGAGCGAAGAGGAACACCACAACAGCGACTACGGCTACGGCTACGGCCACGGCGACGACGATGAGATAGTTCAGATCGTCGACATGTCGCCCCCAAAGAAGAGCAAGAAAGGGAAGAAGGCCAAGGCCTCTGCCGAGGTCATCGACGTCCCTCCGCCGCCCCCTGCGGTCCCTCCGCCGCCGCCCGCCGTTCCTGATGCGCCGCCGATGATGACGCCGGCCGCAGTCCGCTCATCGAAGAAGGAGAGGCCGAGGGTCAATCGCGAGGGCTCGGCATCGTGGGGTACGTGGACGGCGACCCCTACCAAGGAGCCCAAGAAGCCCTCGTCCAAGTCCAAGCCGGAGAGGGAGCCCGGCTCCAGGAAGAAGTCCTCTTCGGCAGAGAAGGCCGAGAAGGGCGACAAGCCATCATCGCGAGGCTCTGGCTCGGACGGGGCAGATAAGCCGAGGGCCAAGGACACCCCGGCGCGGTTCGCCAGCGTTTTCGCAAGCACCCCGCCCCTCTCCCGCTCGGCCTCGACCCGCGAGAAGCGCCACGGCACCAGCAAGTCGAGTTCGCGTAGAGGATCAGTCGACATAAATGGCGGCCTGGTGAGCCCGCCTCCTGAAGACATGTCCGCCAAGGCGGCAAAGGTTCTCGGTGTCGGTGCCGGACTTGTCGGCGCCGGTCTCGGGCTCTCGAGGTCTGCTAGCAGGCGCAGCAGGAAGAATGAGGACGACGACATTGTAATGGTTGGCGCCGCCGATGGACCGCCTAGCCCAGAAAAAGCCGAGCGCCGAAGGCATAGGGTAAGTCAAGCACACCCATCCTGGACATACTCTTTACAAGCAACAGAAAGCTAACAGCCTCTTACTCCAGCAATATTCGCGAGACGATGACATTGTCATGGTCGATGCTGCCGATGCGACACCCTCGCGGCCCCCCTTAAAGCGCTCCAACTCCAGTGCCAAGAAATCCATGCCCTTCTCTTCTTTATTTGGGGGCGTTTTCAAGGGAGATAAGACAGACCCGCGCATGGAGCCGCGCTCGGAACCCCGCCGCCGCGGTACCTATCCGACCACAGACGATGAAGGAGGTAGACGGGGCGAAGAGACTGATGCCGAGCGGGAAGCGCGCCGTGCTGAACGCCGTGCCCGTCGGGCTGAAAAAGAAGCCGCAGAACAGGCCGCTGAGGAGGCGCGCCGCGCTAAGGACGAGGCTCGCCGCGCGCGGCGCAAGAGACAAGAGGAAGAGGACGAGGTGCGTCGACAGGAAGAAAAGGAGGCTCGTCGGAGCGAAAGACGGGCGCAGCGCGCACGGGAAGAGGCAGAGCGCCAAGCTGCCGAGCTGAAAGAAGCCGAGCGTGCTGAGCGCCGCCGACGGCGTGCCGAGATGGACGCGGCTGAAGTCGAAGCCGACGCCCGCCGTGCTGCCAGACACCATGAACGCCGCCGCAGCTACCAGCCCGAAGACTCTGGCCGTGAAGACGACGAAGAGCGCCGCCGACGCAGGGAAGCCCGGCGCGCGACCAAGGAAGGAAGGGAGCGAGAGGAGCGACAATCCCGACGCAGGCCCGAGGCGGCCGACAATTATGTCTACCCCAGGACATCGCGCGAGAATACTGGTGGCTCGTGGCCCCACTCGGGGACATCGTCCTGGGTCAAAGAGCACGCTGACGCCCCGCCACCTCCGGAGAATGGCGAGGGCGTAGCAGAGCCCCCGCCGCCCGAGGCCGAGGTGGTTGACGAGGAAGAAGAAGAAGAGGCGCGCCGGGAAGCCCGCAGAGCTAGACGCCAAGCCAAGTACGCCGCCGAGGCAGCAGGTATGACGCCGGAAGAGTACGACGAGGATAGGCGGCGGAGGAAACGCCGCGAGGAGAGGGAGCGGGACAAGTACGAGAGAGAAAGAGGTGGGGATAGAGACCGGGGTATGGACAGGGAGCGGCGCCCCGGGTCTGATGGGAGTGATGGTCGGCGTGACAGCCGACGGAATTCTGCCATGTTCATGGACACCACCCCGAGGAGCTCGTGGTGGAAGAGGCTGACGGGAGCCGGATGAGTGATGATGACGATTGGTTTCATGGGTTGATGAGTGATGTGTGAGATAATGTTGGATGATTGCGCTATAAGGCGTGGATGTCGGTTTCGGTGCTGCAGACACTTCATGCCTCAGTCAGTTGTTTGTTGAGGGGGGGGTTGCATATATGGCGGATGAAGGAGCATTGGTCGGCTGTGCTTTTGGCTTGATATCCCCCTGCATCACGACGGCGCCATGGCCGCCAGCTAGGGTTCGGTTTGGTTTTGCCTACCTTGGCTGCATTGAGGTTTTACCTATAGTTTATCGCCCACTACTCTGTCTTGTTTGGCTTCAAATTGAGTTGGCCTGGTTGAATCCGAGCCAGTTGGCAGAAGCATTCTGTGTGTTTGTCTGTGTCTGTCTGTGCCTGTACCTTCTTAGTTGCCTTGGGTCGCTCACGTACTTTATCTGCCTGTGTTGTTGCCAGTCTCCTCTGGATGATTATCTCACCGGCTTCAATGTTTTGTCCCTAGGGCCACCTACCTGCTAGTCGACACGTAGTCCCCTGACATGTGTCTTGACTTGAGCACAAGCCGAGCCCGAGCACCCTCCAGCCAGTCTGATCATAGTCGTCCCAGCAACCAGCAACCAGCACCGGGCTTTCATCCCTAATGCACCTTCCCGTGCCCTCCGATCCCATTGCCACCAAACAGGCGCCAGGCCCGTCTTATCGGGCAAGCCCCGAGCCAAACTGTACACAGTCCCGTGGTGCAGCGGCAAGTTGGAGTAGAGTAGTAGTTAACTCGTCGCCCTTCCAAGGCGGAAACTCGGGTGCAAATCCCGGCTCCAGCAACTTCAAACCGTCGCAGCGTCTGTTATTTTTGCACTTTTCCCTTTTTTTGCTGTTCATCCCATCACTCTGAACAGACTTGCCTCTCGTTGTGTATTGTCTCCACTGTTCTTTCATGGCAACAACGTACCCATTTCGTTGCCCAGCCAAGGTGAAGTGGAAGTTTATTTCTTGGTAAGTACAGCTCATGTCCACCCTCTCGGCATCATCGCCTAGCTTCCACACTGCTAGCTGCAGCCTCTTTCTCCGCCGCCTTCAACTTCCGCACTCGCCTCTCCTCCCGCCATCGAGGTCCCCGCACGGTCAACACCCACAACACAGGCGAAAAGACGACGAGCACAAGCGCCCAGAAAGTGTAGGTCCAACCCCTGCCCATCGCCCGGAGCATAGACTCGATGAACGCCGTACCAGCGGCGCCGAACAGGCAACGCACCAGGTTATTGGCAGCCACCGCGGTCGCTGGAGCTTCGGGGTACAAATCCACTATCAGTGTATTGAGGATGGAAAAGGACCCGGTGACGCAGAGACCGACGATGAACAGCAACACCAGTGGGCCGGCTAGGCTGATCTCGGCTTGCAGAACCCAGCCGTAACAGATGACGGCCGCGATGCCCGTGGACAGGATCGGGAAGACGGGCAGAATCCGAGCCTTTTCGATGGGGAAATTCCGCAGGTCGTCGCCCCGCTTGTAGTCGATTGTAAACCCGATGTTGCGGGCTATCCTGCGGTAGTTGGTGTCGAGGATGTAGCCCTGCACTATCGAGGCCAGGCAGCACCCGAGGCCGTAGGGCAAATAGCACAGGCCGAGCTGGAGGTCGGTGAGGTGGTAGATATCTGCAAACTCTGTGGACAAGGTAGCGGCGATGAGGATGAACACCAGGTAAATCATGGTGTTGTAGAAGAGGAGGAGGGCGAGGTCCTTCTCAAAGACCACCCTCAGGGCATTGATGGGGTTGGGGAAGCGTAGCTCGCGCTTGGGAGCGTCGGCAGGTGCGTCAGCGTGCTGTGGGTTGTGACGGTACCGGAAGAAGTCGAGGATGGTCATGTTCCACCCGCGTGCCGGTACAGACCCGTTCCCTACCACCTTTCTGCACGTCTCGGGTACCGCCAAAGTGTATGGTATGAGCCACACTGCAGCGTAGATGAGGCAGAACCAGAAAATGGCTCTCCAGCCCAGGTATTCGGCCAGGATGCCGCCAAGGACTGGGCTGAGGGCGGGTCCGACGTTGATACCCGCTCCAACTATGCCCATGTACTTGCCCCTTTCAGCGCTGACGGCAACATCGGCCACCACAGCGAAGCACAACGACAGAGTCCCGCTGCTTCCGGCGCTCTGGAGCATCCGCAGCACCAACAGGGCCGCATAGTTTTTCTGAAGGGCCAGGCCGAGGTTGGCAAAAATGTAGATGGCGAAGGATATGACAAAGGCAGGCCTCCTGCCGGCCATGTCGCCGAAGTCGCCGACGATTGTGGGAGAGATGGCTTGGAAGACCATGTAGGTCGTCAGGGTTAGGTTGATGAGGCTGACCGACACGCCGAGGTCGTCGGCGATGGGAACGAGGGCTGGGAAGTAGATGTTGGCTGTCATGGGCGAGACGAAGCTCGCACAGGCGGCCATGGCAATGACCCATCTCTTGGTTGGCTTCGAGAAGGCGCTGTAGGCCGGGCCGCTCGAGACCTGGTGAAGTGACTCGGGGTCGGGGGCGGCACTACGGTCGGATGACCCATTCCCGTCGGAGCCAACGCCCGAAGGCTCATCGTCGTCGACAGGTGAAGGCGCCGGCCGGTCCTCCTCTGGCTCGCCCGAAGTCGCCTCTTGTTTTTCTCGTGATAACCCTGGTCCAGTGTCCATGATGGGGTGGAATTGCTCTAGGGTTGGGTTTCCTTCTTACGCCTTGTCGTTTAGGGGGGGTACATAAAGGAGAACATGAAGAACAACGAAGGCGTTTGGAACACGGGCCGTCGGCTTCGACAACCAACGAGGACAAGCTGCACTTGCATGATGGCGGGACCAAACCGGAGAAGTTGCACCATACCAGGCGCCACACATGACACACCCCCCGAGTTGAGAAGTTCTTTTATTCCCGAGCAAACCGCGAGGGACGTGGAGAATAAGCGGGACCTAAATGGAAACCAGGCAGGGCCATGGTCACCGGGACTTGTGACGGACGATAGGCACTGACAATGCCGGCACGAGGTGGCATTGTTGCGGTATCGGCGCCGGGATGCAGGAGGAGGCAAGCCTTGGAGACTCGACGGCCGGGGCCGATTCCGAGAACGACCTACCCCTGACGCCCGGAGGATGGGAGGAACCCTGGACTGCTGTCTCTCATTGGATCCAGTTTGACGCGCTCCACGAGAAGAGAGAATTGCCCATGTATTGTGTAGATAAACGCCGGGAGGCGTAGTTGGAGGCCCGAGGGGCACGCACTTCATCGTCGAAGAGTTCCGGTCGGAGCAAAATCATGACCGTGACTTTAATTATCGGCGATTGGTGGATGTTGAAGAATGAAGTCCAGGTTGGACCGAGGGAGACCCAAGTGGGTCCCGAATGTCTCTCTGCATGGAACCTGGAAGCCGGCAGCTGCTAAGGTACAGGCCGCCACAGCGCCAAGCCACCAGCCACACAGCGATCTGGACAGCTCCGTCATCGACGATCCGACACGTTCACAGCTTCGACTCCCTGACCGACCTGACCCCCGAGGATGGTGTCGGCATGGCCAACCTAACCACAGCGTTCAACGCCCTCCTCAAGGGCCATGAGGCGCCCCCCACGAAGCCGTTTAGCCTCGATACGGCCGACGAGTTTCTCAAGGAGGCATACCGGATAGTGCGTCCTTCTTGTAGACCCCGGTTCTCTGCGGCCGCCCAGCTGACCCTTTGCGCTGCAGAACTCCCTCATTGCGCGCCTGCACTCCGAACTGCGCAATTTGCGCCAGGCATACCTCTCGACTGCTCCTCCACGCAAGACACACTTACGGACCGCCGCATCCCGCTCCGCGCCTGCACAGCATGTCGCCCTCACGGACCGGGACCGCGAGGAGATTGACGCCAATGCAAAGATGACGCTCCGCGATCTCAACGCTCGTATCCGTGCCCTCGAAGATGCCGAACAGCTGCGGCAGAATACCGAAGCGGCGCTGCTCCGGAAGCGCCTGTCTCGCGGGCTGGGTGCTCTGGGATCCTGGGCTGCTGGGGACGATGCCCGCAGCGAGCAGGCTGCCCTTGAGGCTGCCGCTCGCCAGCTCGGAGCCCACCGAGAGAGTGTGATTTGGGTCCTGCGGACAAGGCTGCAGGAAACAGCCCGGACACAACAGCGCATGATGGAGACCCGCTTGACCAGGGAGATGGAGAAGAACAGGAGTGTACTGGCAAAGGCTAGGGGCCCAGCCATGCCCATGGGTCTGTACGACACTGCGAACCACGGCATCGGAAAGTCGCCAACCGGCCCTGTTTCCAATGGAGCGGGTTTGCCAGTGCAGGAGGAGGAGCAGAGGAAGAGGCCAGCCGTGGACAACCTCACCGACGACCAAAAACAACTGTTTGAGAAGGGCAACCAGGACATGCTGAAGCACCTCGAGAGCACCCTGGACAAAGTCAGGTGGGTTTGCATGACTGCTGCGTTCTGAATTCCCTGTTCTAACCCTTGAGGCAGGACGGCCGAGAGCTCGCTCATCGAGATTGCCGAGCTGCAGAACCTGCTCGTCAACAACCTCGCCACACAATCGGCGCACATTGACCAACTGGTTGCAGACTCGTTCGAGACAACAGAGGGCATTGGCAAGGGGAACAAGGAGCTCAAGAAGAGCGCGGGCAAAGCGAGCCCGGCCCGATACACCTTTTTTGCTGCTGCGGGACTGTGTACAGCACTCATCTTGTGGGACTTGATCATATAGGGCCGAATGTCTTTACACTCGAAGTGCAGTGTACCTAGATGGGCCGTCGTGGTGCTTTTGCCCGTGATACCCGGCCCGTCATTCATGCAATTAATCATGGGAGATACCGTGAACGGTGTGACTTGTTGTAGAAATGCGAGCCAAATCAACTCTGGTCTCCTGAATGCTCCGAGATGTTGTCGGATCAACCAGGCAGGGAGTTGTGCGTTTAGTTGCAGTTCAAACTCACTTTCATCCCAATGTCCATCCACGCTCCATGTTTGGCAACGATTTCGCTGGTCAAGGGCCGCTCTCCCGTTTAAGTGAATATTACCCAAATACAATATGATTACTGTTTGTTTGTTAGCGCGAAACTTTTGACAGGGGCCCTGGTCCGAGGTTTAAAAACCTCTCCTTTGACAGCCTAACAACCATTGAAAATGCAAGCAATTGGAAGCTTTAGAAGAAATTCGGAAATATTCTCCCAGTCTATACCTTTTTTCCGTATCAAAATGCACTGTTTTGCCGTTAAGTTCGAGATCCTTGGTAGGACCCTGGTCGTTAAGTGAGGCGCTAACGAACAAACAGTGAGGGCATTGTACGAGCGCGTAACGTTATTTCCTCGGTTAGCCAATTTGGCAGGTTTTGGCGAAACGGTCGGTGGGGCAAGGAACCGAGGCTAGTATGTACTTGTAGTGCCTGCCCAAAATGGCCAGCCTGCCAAGCTCGGACTCGAAATCCGAGCGTCTTCGCACGGTGTCGCCCGCAAAATGCGAGCTTCCCAAACGCGACCATGGGCCGGCTCCTTAACAGGGCAGGCATGTGGCTCAGTTACAGATCCTTTCAGTGCTGCTGCCTCCAACCCCTAACGCAGCAAGGTACCCATTGCATCCCGTTGCATCCGAGTCGCAGTTATACACGAGATTCGCCAGCGGCAAACTGGAGCTTCTTCCAACACCAGTTCCCCCGGCCAGCAGGCCCTGAAGCATCCATTTCACCTGGCCCGTTTGGTGCCTTGGGTATCCGTACCGCGCCGTCACATGCAGCCGCCACACGTGCGAATAACAAGCTCCGACGCCGACTGCTGCAGCTGATCCCCCCGACGACAGATGGACCCAGACGCGCCT